TCCCCCTTTTTTTTTTTTTTTTTTTTTTTTTTTTTTTTATTTTTCCCCCCCCCCCCCCAAACCTAGAAAAAAAAAAAAAAAAAAAAAAAAAAAAAAAAAAAAAAAAAAAAACAACACGCATGCTACATGTGCCACATGCTTCTTTCTCTAGCGCAACCAAACGGCCAATATGGCAATATCAGATTACCAACACAAACCTCGTGTCAGTCCGGCTGTAGTAGGGAGGGATAAGATTTGGAAGCCAGACTGGCACAGTGCCACAGCACAGTGTATCACACTCCAATGCCGTTTCTCGTTGCGAAAACAAATACCTGAAGAAGCACACTCTTCTTCCCAGACCTATTGGCGCCCATGAAATGGGCATAGGAAGAATAGGAAGAATGGCTGCTAGTCATCACAGCCTTAGGTGATTCATGACGCTATTACTTGTTGAAACTTGAAACTGGTTGCATGTGCTCTCTCTCTCTCTCTCTCTCTCTCTCTCTCTCTCTCTCTCTCTCTCTCTCTCTCTCTCTCTCTGTGTGTGTGTGTGTGTGTGTGTGTGTGTGTGTGTGCCGGTTACTTATCACCGGCAGCATCAAGACTCAGCTTGACAACAGAAAGAGCAAGAGGGGAGCAAGAAGAAAAGGTAGAGGAAAGAAAACTTATTTCGATTTCTGTGGACCCCTGCTTGGCCCGTTCTGCATATTGCTTCCTTAAAGCAGAAGTACCTTTCCCCTCTTGAAAAACAATTCTGTGGCGGTTAACGAGGAAGAAAAGCAGGGCCCAGCATCAGGCTTGTAGCACAATGGAGGGGGACGCCAGTGGGCCCAGGGAAGGGGCAAACGGACTGCAAGATGTCCGGATAGTGAGCTGTGAATGTGAAAACCGGCGGATGCTGAAGGCAACGAGGCATAAAAGAAAGCAAAAGAAAAGGAATGAGAAGAGGATTAAAAACAAAAACAAGAAAAAAAAGGAACGTACTTTTTCTTTCCTTTTTTTTTTTTTTTTTTTTCAGAAGAAGACTCGTTTCTGATCCAGCCGTTTGGATTACAGGACTTTGATAGTACGTCAGAACTTTGCAGTACGTCTCTTCTGCCCTTACTTCTGGGGGCAGAAGTGGAAAAGTCCGAGGGACAAGTCCGAGGGCAATCACGTCCTGAGCTTGTTATGAATTTCCTCTTCACGTGGGAGATAGGGGCGTCTGCTCATACCAGCACCCCTAGCTCTAACACAGGTAGTTTCCATTAGAAAAAACAAAACAAAACAAAAAAAAAAACAGACTCCCCGTGACAGACGGGGAGCATGCAATATGCCCCTGCCAGCCCGTTCAATTTCTGGGCTTCAGTTAACGTTGCAAAGGAGCCAGGACCTTAAGGCCCTGTTTAAAAAATAATAATAATAATAATAATAATAAATAAAAAAATAAAAAAATCTCACAATGTATCTGGCTGCCCTTCTGGGCAGCAGTGGATGAATCTGAGGGCAATCAGGCCAGCGGATGAATCTCAGGGCAATCACGTTCAGAGCTTGTTATCCCTTTTAGGACTTTTCCTTTTCTTCAAAGTTTTTTCTGTTTTTTTCTTTCTTTTTTTTGCGAGGATTATCTCAGCTGTTTGTGTGTCTACTCCCGTGACAGACGGGGAGCACTCGATTTCTGCTAGCGAACTCTTCCCAGAATGGATGTGGCTGCACTTCTGCTGAGCCCATTTTCAGGCAGACGAGTAGAAACAAGAAAACGGCGGCCTCTTTAGGGTCCAGCAGCTGGTCCAGCAGCTGGAAGCAGGTCCAGCATAAGGGGGGGGGGCACCTGTGCCAAACAAATGCCAACAAATGCCCCGCGCAGGCTCAGCAAAATATGGTGCGCAGGGCATTTTCAGGCTCGGCATCAATAGCTGAGAAAGGTACTGGTGGTTTAAGTTTATTTTTTCTTTTTCATTCGCGAGTACGAGTTCCTCTTACAGGGGCGGGGCACCTGTGCCAAACAAATGCCCTGTGTCTGTTCTTTTTTCAAAACTAAGTTAACCTATATTGTTCTTCTCTCAATATACCGCCCACTACCTACCTACCTACCTACCTAGCCTGGAATGATACACCCTTCATCTATGGACTACAAAAGCAAGACGCAAAGGGTTATGGGTTGGATTGCCGGCCTCTACACTATGCGGGGAGCAGTACCCCGGCTCCTGACACCTGGCGTGAGCTAGAAAGCATAGTGATACTTCCACAGCCAGCCAGGGGGACCAAGCTGCTTATCTCCACTGGTGAACCCAAAGGCATATCAAACATGGCCGCGGGGGGATCGAATGGACGATGCGGGGAATCAAACCCACCACCTCCTCGTCGAATGGACGACGCAGGGAATCGAACCCACCACCTCCTGAATACCACTTACGTGCTCAACCAACTGAGCTAGCCCGCTTGGGCAGAGCCTGTGTCTGTTCTCATTTAGGACTGGAGCTATTCTCTACTGTGTGCCAAACTAACACCCTAAACCTGTTCATGATGACTTTTGGCACAATGGCGAGTCCGTCCGCAACTGCTGAATCTCAACATGGTCCACAGGTATAGCTGCTACCGCAGAGAGGCACCCGGAACACGGAGGCCAGGTCGAGATCGACTACGTTCGACGACCTGCATACAGGACACAGATTCAATGCACCTGTTTCGACCGGTGGTCGGACTTGGATCTCCACACGGTCCACAGTGACTGGACTGGTTCAAAAGCCCAGAGCACTATGTTTCAGCCGTGGACGAGGACCAGCGCAGAGAGGCACCCGGAACACGGAGGCCAGGTCGAGATCGACTACGTTCGACGACCTGCGTACAGGACACAGATTCAATACACCTGTTTCGACCGGTGGTCGGACTTGATCTCCACGGTTCCACAGTGACTGGACTGGTTCAAAAGCCCAGAGCACTACGTTTCAGTCGTGGACGAGGACCAGACACATTGTACACCTTGTGCTCAGACTCCGCTTGGCTCCTGGAAAGCAGCTCTGGGCAATAGAAAGAGCCAGGCGTAGAGGATAAGGCTGAATGCTGAAGTGCGGAGCAGCTGAAGGTCTACAGAGGAGGACGGGGTAAAGCTCACCTGCAGCAGAGAAGGAGGTGGTACTCACCTGCTGCCAACATAGCTAGATCTCCCCGTTGGAACGGGACTTCGACCTGTTGGAACGGGACTTCGACCTGTTACCTGCATGACCTCAGTGACCTCAGTGTGGCTCAATGCACCACCTTTCGTCAGTCAGTACTTCTCGTCCACAGAGAGAAAAAGAGCAAGACCGAGAGCGAGACGCTTACAGATAAAGACGGACACCGAGAGAGCTCTCAGTCTTCTTCTCCTTCTCCTTCTCCTTCTCCTTCTCCTTCTCCTCTCCTCCTGTGACTGTGAGACGCAGAGACCTGGTTACGCTTTGATAATATCAGACGTCACTGATCTTCCGACGGAGATCTTGAGGGCAGATATTATTTCATCCCCTACAATTGCACGTCTACGGCTCTTCTTCTTCCTCCTCATTTCTTATTATTCTGCCTCCATCATCTGCGCATGGCTACAGCATTCACATGGCTTAGGATCTTCTTCTTCTCCGAATCTCCATCACTGCTTCTTCTTCGTCTTCTTGTCCTCCCACCATTCATCTGTGTGCAGCACAGTCGAGCAGCAACGCCATCTTCTGCCTCCTCCCTGTCAGTTTGCAGGTCAGTTCTCTTCTGCCCCCATACTTCCCAGTGTGTCCTGTATTAATTGCACAAAGCTGTATACTATAGATTCACTCTGCGCTTTCCCCATCGGATTGACCTTAGCTTTTTTTTTTTTTTTTTTTTTTTTTTTTTTTTTGACGTCTGATCTGGATGTGCTACACACATGGGTACACTACTACACTACTATTATCACAACACAAACCACTGCCAGACAGTGCCAGTCACACTCAATTGTGAAAAATATAACCATCCACACATTGAAAGATATACACTGCACTCATTTTAATCAAAAGGCATCCAGAAGAACAAAAGAAAAGGGAAGGAAAAAAAAAAAAAAAAAAAAAAAAAAACCAGGGAGGAACGGGATGGACAAAAGGGAAAAAAAAAGGGAAAAAAAAAAACAGGAGAGGGAAGGTAAGAGGGAAGGTAGGGGGAGCCAAAAAAAAGGGGTATCCACTGTCCAGAGTCATCAAAAGGTATCCAGAAGAACAAAAGAAAAGAGGGGGCGGGGGGGTAAGCACAGGGGAGGAACGGGATTAAAAAAAAAAGGGAAAAAAAAAAAAGAACAGGGGAGGGAAGGTGGGGAGACGACAAAAAGGGGTATCCACTGTCCAGAGGTACATACAAATCACACCCCCAAATACCAACCCTTGAAAACAAACGAACTATCAATCAGACTCCCACAACAGTATCCAGGACTGGATAGCAGTGTTGTCTAGCCGGCGGTCGTCAAACCTGCCTCTTCCCCACAAGCCTACAGGAAACCGCTACGACAACCAAACAACCCCCCCCCTCTCTCTGTGCATCCAACCAGCCATAGGGCACAGCACAGTACAGGCTCTTTTGAAAATATAGCCATAGGGCACAGTAAAGGCCCTTTTCCAGAGCCCAGAGGACAGATAAAGTTGGGCACGAATGGTCGGAGAATCTGCATAAATGATAAAACCCACACGATTCACTTCGTCTACTTGGGACTGACCCATATTAAAATATGCCCCCTAGCTAAGGTCCTCGCCACCCCGATGTCGAAAACGGCATTTTCGACATTCTCTCCCCCTTTTTTTTTTTTTTTTTTTTTTTTTTTTTGACATTCTCACCCCCTGCCACACAGCATGTCGAAATCCGAGATGAGAAAAAACTTCAAAAAAGACTAAGGACCCGTAAGGGAAAGGGTTACAACACCTCTCGAGCAGGGCTCGTTTCCACTTCAGGCCTGCAACTTGGAGATTTTCAACAGTCCTCCGATGAGATATCGAGTTCTTGCCCAAATGTCGAAAAGGAGAGCTGACCAACGCTTATCCTATCGTCAACCAGTTTGTCTCTTTTGTGTGTATGAATTCGGCGTTCTCCACTTCGACATGATGTGTGGCAAAGAGGGTTTGTCGTCAAAAGAGGGAATGTCGAGAAGTTCCTAACATATGTCGAATGTAGTGATGTCTCGACATTGGTGTGGCGAGACCCTAAGAGAGACAAACAGACAGACAAGAAAAAGGGCGAAAGACGCAGAGAGATGCACACAGACAAACAACATAAAAGGGGGTGGGCGGCTGAAGGGGGGAGAGAGAGTGTGTGTGTGTGTGGGTGAGACACAGAAGCACACACACAATCGTACCCATGCCCGTGCACGCAGGTGCACACACACACACACACACACACACACACACACACACACACACACACACACAGACAGAGAAATTGGAAGAGTAGCACATACCATTGCCAGGTCCATTTCCTTGGAAGTCGAAACAGTGTCCTCCGTTCACAATTTTTTTTTCTTTTTTCTTTCTAAGGATTCCCAGCTCCCCCCGCCCTCCTTTGCACCAATGACGGCATTGCCTCAACTACAATCACTGCTGATTAACCAGCAGCCAGTGTACACAGCCTCACTCCAACACAAAGCCCTTGCACCAATGATGGCGTTGCCTTGACTGCAATCACACAGCTCATTTACCCCAGCAGCTTTCGGATGCAGAACAATGTACAAAACAACGTTACGAAGCCCTTGCACCAATGATAACAAGCCTTGATGTTCACAGGAGCTCCGCCCTGTCTGTAGATATACAAGTTATGGGCCACAAACCTCACGAAAATTCCTCCGTTCGTCATTCTCCGAATCCGCCTGCTGCAAACAGCCAGCAGACAAACTCCAGCATGAGAGAGAAAGGAGATGGGAACTAAGGAAAACACCTACCTCCCCCACAGGGCCAATGGGCAGAACCACTCATAACTCCTCAGGCAGCACGGAAAGATGATAACAGATATTTGCTTCATGAACAACTATCAATAGGCTCACCCATACCCCACTGATAGAAGAGCCTCACATGCAAAACTGGATCCTTGCTGGGGGCACACTCCTCAACACTAGGGACTTCTTCGACTGAGCGGTGGACGTAATTGCAGTGAGATGCATGCAGGTCTCGCCAGAATCGCCGTCCGCTACATTATGGAAGTGCTGGTGTGAGTAATGCCCTTCGCCTCATTCCGGACACAGTGTCCACCGTTATCGATCCGACAGATAACCCCATCTCTGTCTCCCTCCCAGCTTGGTGTTCACCGGATACAACCCATACTAAGATCCGATTGCCGTCCAATAGCAGATTTACCACAGATCAGATTGCCGTCCAAGACCAGATTTGCCACATACACTCTTCGACGCAGCCTGTTCATTGAGGAGCGAGAACGGTAGGGAGAGTAGTAGGCAGTAATCTGCTGCTACATACACAATTGCCTGGGTGCCCCACACAACATGGCATTAAAGCACGCGGCTTCCTCCTCGTCCACGAAATCAATGTCGGTACATTCTTGACAACTACCCCGACTTGCTGTGGACACACTGTTCCAAGCAGCTTGTGGACGGACGACTTGGGAGTAGGCAGTTGCTGCTCCTTACACATCATACACATTTGCCGGGTGTTGTACACAACATAGCATTCCATTTCCAAGAAAAACCCCAGTTGCTTCCTCCTCGTCCACGGATCAAAGCGCAGTAAAATTCTTGCATCTAACAAGACCCTTGCTCCAGACACTCTTCCGGCCGTCTGTCAACGGGATGAGCAAAAGTAGCGAGGGGGGTAGAGGCAGTAGCTTCTGCTTCTGACACATACACACTTTTGACATCTTGCATAGTCCGAAAGGGACACCGAGACGAGCCCGTCACCCGGTGCACCACAATCCATCCCTTCGCCAGGAAAAGTTCGTACGTAGAACTGCTTGCCAACGCCTTCCCAGAACCTCGATGCCTCATAACAGAGCCGCCGCACGCGTCCGAAGTTCTGCATACTCTCTGGAGGGACCGACACCAATCCGCCCGCTTTCCTGGCTGGCCACTATCAATCCCTTTGCCAGGAAAAGCACGTACGTACATAGAACTGCTTGCCGACGGTTTCCCATAACATCGAAGCCTCAGAACAGAGCCGTGCACCAAGTTCCATGTACTCCTCGAGGGACCAACACCGACCGGCGATGCACTGTCCCGGGTGCCATCACAGTCCATCCCTTTGCCAGGAAAAGCAGTTAGGTAGAACAGGCGGTAGATGCTTTCCCAGAACCTCACAGCATCATAAGAGAGTCGTACACATACCAAAGTTTCACGTACTCCTAGAGGGACACACCAGACCCAGAAACATGTACGATGTATGCACCCTGGACCATACGTTTTTTCCCGTTGATGAACTTCTTGTACCATTTCTCGATTTGCAAGCCATCCCCTTACGCTGCCGACATGCCAATCTCATCTGTACAGTTCCAATCTTTAACGGATGCCCTGAGGAGCACTGCGCACCATTCATTCCTCTCACACACAGACATATGTCAGTTCTCCACATGACAGACACCGGTGATTACCCAGTCCAAAACAGATTCTGAACATCTTTATGGGTCTTTCCACAACGTGAACGCCGGCGATTACCCAGTCCAAAACAGAACATCTTTAGGAGTCTTTCCACACCGTGATCGGTAAAAGAGAGGGTCACTTTCCACCAGCACAGTGACTCTGCAGAGGAGTACCTAACCTGTTCCCTGCGAACCAACAAACCAGTCACACAACCAGAAGTCCTTGGAGAACCTATTTCACTGACGTCACCTGAAATTCTTGAAAACCCCATGTTGATTTCACTGCCACATTGATTAACCACATAACCTTCACCACAGACTCTCTCTCTCTCTCCCATAATACCAATTAATGAAAACACAGACTTAGAGCAGGATCTGAGTCCACAGCAGAGCCACAATAGATGTTCTCTGGACTGGGAAAGGAGGCGGAGGGGGGGGGGAAGGGAGGGGAGGGGAAAAAACAAAAATCGGAAAAGGGTATGCGTCGCATATCTTATACACAGCACAAGCAAGCACATCATGCAAAAGCACTGTAATCCGCCCGCCCAGCCGAAACCTTACACTTAGCCACAAGACCCATCCCGATTCACTCTTTTTAGTCTCAGCATCATCATCAAGACTTTCACCCATAACCGCAAGAGCCAACCTTCACCAGTCGTGCTGTGAGATAAGAAAGACAGAAAAGAAAACAAAAGAAAAGAAACGTCAAAGACCGTCTTGCAAAGTCCAACCCAGTGCGAAATGAACCCCCACCGGCTGCATGCTGCTCACGCGGCTAACAGAGCCCACAGGTATGGTTTTGCCACTGTGGCCTGGAACCACAATTATGCGCGGCACGATACATACATAGGTGAGCTATATAAACAAATCACCTCTCCTTGGATACCCCCCCAAGCTGCCATCTCCAACGCCACCTGTCCTGCCAACGATCCTACACCAGCGATGATACCAGCCAAAATGGAAAAGCTTCTGAAGGACGTTTTGTTTTCACACATCCTCTCAATTACAGGCAAAGTTGTGATGACAAGGACCACCCGACTACGCAACTGACATGGGCGGCGAAACTCTTAACATTTTCCTCCACCGGACAGGTCGTAATGTCACCCTGCAAACATTTCCCCCTACAACAGGGTGCACCCTAACCAACCACCCAACATGGGTCCCCCCCCCCCCCCCCCCCCCCCCCCCCCCCCCCCCCCCCCCCCCCCCCCCCCCCCCCCCCCCCCCCCCCCTACAGGATGCTACCTCTTCCTTATCCCCCACTNCCCCCCCCCCCCCCCCCCCCCCCCCCCCCCCCCCCCCCCCCCCCCGAACGTTTCCTCCTCCTACAGGATGCTACCTCTTCCTTATCCCCCACTTCATTTGAACTGCTGCACCCAAATGGAATCTCGGCAGAGACTTACAATATATATATATATATATATAAGCCTGTGCGAGGAAGACAAAACTTTACTCACTCAAAAGCGCCTCCCCACAAGTTCTCCCAAACCAGAACCACAACCATGTGCCCACCCAAAAGCACCCTTTTGTAGTTTATCCTCCTGATCAGTACATGTCAAGCAGGTTATGCACCGAGGTGTCCAACCAGTGAGGTCTCCTAATTCCTACGAATAGCATACGACATCTGTCCGGCTTTCATAATCGACACCTCCTCATTCTCTCCGGAGCCCTCTGTGCCAGACGCGTACAGCAGATATCCACTGCGTCATCTCCATTTTCCGCAGGCATCAAGGTCCAGGAGAACAGAATTTTGCTCACTCCCTTTCCAGAGAACCAATCACACATCTTCGTCAGCTTCATCCAAAACGTCCACCCACCCATACTGGCTGAAGTGTTTCACCCTGAACACCCATTCCCCTTTGGAGGCATCATACTTTACAAATTCGGCACCCTGCTCCTCGGTCTTCCTCTTCAGCTTCCTCTCAAACTTCTCCACCTCAGGACCTTCCAGCACCTGCCCACTCTTCTTGTCAATGCATTTGACATTCAGAAGTGTGACCTCTGCGGGTTTATTCAGCCCCTTGCCGACGGGAGGCTTCTTGCTTTCGTCCATGTACACCAAGACCTCGCACTTGTTGAACCGCACAATGCCCTCCAGGTCCAGTCCCCTAACGTCTGTCTCACCCAAAAATCTTACAGACCCATAACCCCTGCGACCAACGACGAAGTCCTTCACACGAGAAGTGTACCCTGGGCTCGCACGCTCCTTTGCGGCCAGCTCTTGAACTTTCGGCTCTGTGTAGTACTCTGGATGTTGCAGTTTGGGCAAGAGGGCCTCAATATCTGTGCCACGCTTCCCCGCAGAAATACCATCCTCCTCATGGTCTGCAGCAAACAGATGAGAAGCATGGCCGTTTCCTGTTCTCTCGTCCGGCGTTCCGGACGTAAGCTTTGTGGCGGAAGCTGTTCTACCACCTCCCCTCTCCCCGATAACCACCTGCTCGCGTGATCTCACATCAAGCTCCCTGGGGTCGGAGCCATTCATATACGGTACCCCAGGCATTGTGCGAGGAGGCGATGACTGAGTCGCTGGCATCTGCATTTCCGTCCTCACAGCTCTTGTCTCAGCACTATCACCAAAGACGTCAGCCGGAGGCGAGGTACATCTCCCATTCTCTGCAGGTGAAGCGATGGTTCGGCTGCTCAAACCCACCGTTCTGGATGGCGTTCCCACAGTTGCTGACTGATCGGGCTGCCGAATGAATAGCGCGCGCGGATTTTCCCTGGGAACGAACAGCACATCAGCCCGTGGCGTCGTGGGTACCTCTTCGCCATCGCTCAGGAAAGACACCCTTGCGCTGCCACTCTGAGGCTGGTATCTCCTTGCGTGCATCCGCACCCTCGACCGCGGGGTGATGTGTCTCGGTGTCAACAACGATGTGCCTCGAGTCTGCACAGGCTTTTCCGACAGCGGCATGCTCGCAATTCCCGACTGCCCTTTGTTAGGGGTCGTGCTCCATGACCTTCCCACATTCACTTGTGGTACTGCTGGCATGTAGCCAAAAGGATTCGCCACAGGCGTCGGAAATATGCCGACCTGCTGCCCCATCAATCCCGGTTGCTGAGGCTGCTGAGGCTGCAGAACCGGCTGCTGTAACAGCAATGGGGCTGTGCTTCCTAGAAGCCCTGCTGTCCCCTGTGGCTGTGTATTGAACCCAAAGCCAGTGTTCGTGGCTGGGTTGGTGAAACTGCCAAACGGCGAGGGTGACGCCGCTGGTGTTGACGCTGTCAATCCCGCAGGTCGCGTTTGACTGAAGTTGAAAGCCGAGGAGGCGTTTCCAAAAAGACTGGTGCTGCCAAATGCCGACGTGCTTGCTGAAGTCTGGCCAAACGGTGTAGGCGTGGATCCGAAGGCAGGAGTTGAGGATTGCCCAAAAGCAGAGGTGGAAACCCCGAAGGGAGATGGAGTGCTCCCAAAGAGACTGGTGGTGGTACCGAAAGCAGGAGTGGACGAACCGAATGCTGGCGAAGGCGTCACACTCCCAAATGCAGGGGTAGACGAAGCCAGCCCCGCCCCAAACGCTCCACCTGTGCTCCCAAATGCACTGCTTGTGGCACCAAACAAGCCCGACCCAAGTGTGCTGCCACTGGTTGAACCAAACACGCTCGTTGAGCCGAAGGCTGGGGTGCTGGCTGGTGCTGACCCAAAGACCGAAGTCGATGGCTGCAAACCAAATGCGGGACTCGATTGCTGCCCGGTGCTCCCGAAAGCTGCTGGTGCACCAAAAAGCGATGACGAAGTTGAGCCAAAGGCCGGTGAAGAGGTTGCAGTTGCACCAAACGCTGGGGTCGTAGTGGAGCCAAAGGCTGGGGTTGAGGATGCAAATGGATTCGGAGAAGATGCCACACCGAAGGGGTTCGGATTTGGGGTAGTGCTTCCGAATGTGGTCGCACCACCAAATGGGTTGGACTGGGGTGGCGCCCCAAAGATCGAACCTGCTGGGCGTGCCTGACCGGCTGGTGCAGGCCCACCTTTGTCGTTCTGTTGATAATCCTCCCACCTCAGCTCCTCAACGCTCTTGTTTTTGTAAGCTGGCATCGCCGAAATCGAGATGAACTTTCCCGGTTGCCCGGCAGGCGAGTCGGGATCGCTGGTCGCCTGATAAGGGGTCACACGACTGCCTCGCTGTTGCTGCTGCTGCTGCTGCTGCTGTTGCTGCTGCTGCTGTCCAAACGCCCCCGTTGCTCCGAAGCTCGTACTGCCAAACGCAGGTGTGCTGGCTGGCTGTCCTGCACCAAATGCTGGTGCCGAAGCCCCTGCCCCAAATGCCGGGGTAGTCGTTACCCCAAACACAGGAGCCGTGGTTGCACCAAACGCAGGAGTTGATGTACCTCCAAACGCAGGCGCTGACGTTGCGCCAAAAGCCGGTGTACCACCGAATGCTGGGGTTGTCGTCGCACCAAAGGCAGGTTGACTGGGCTGTGCCTGGCCAAAAGTTGTGGTCCCAAAGGGATTGGCCTGGCCCGGCGAGGCACCAAAGGTGCCGAAAGGTGTTGCAGGCTTCTGCCCGAAAGCATTGTTTGCACCAAACGGCGAAGACGGCGTTGTACCAAAAGCTGGTGCAGAGGACCCAAAAGCCGGTGTCGACCCAAATGCGGGTTGCGATGCAGCACCAAACACACCAGTTGCTGTTCCACCAAAAAGACCAGTTGAGGAACCAAATGGTTTCGGTGCAAACGGATTCGCAGGCTGAGCAAACGGATTGGCTGAATTACTTGCACCAAATGCACTGGACGTGCTACTCAAGCCGAAAGGGCTTGACGAAGGCTGACCCCCGAAGGGGTTCGCCGGTGCCCCAAACATGTCGATACACTTCCGGTCCCACTTCCACTACCACGCAAACTTGTGAACTTGTAGAAGAAGACGCGGTTGTCTACCTTGGGCACGCTGTAGACAGCTATGTGTACAGCGGGTTCCACCAGAACTCAGGAACCTGCGGAGGACGTTATCTGTGCACAGAGAGAGAGAGAGAGAGAGAAGTCCGCCCACCTATCTGTGCACGTTGAGTTTCGTACAGACACTCAGCTGCACGCAGAGTAGTGAAGCATCGCGATAACCTCACATTCACACATTCACATTACCTGAATGAGGAATTTATGTAAGGTCTTCAAGGTCATGCCTGAAACTACTACCACCATCAGGTTTCCATCAAACGTCACTGAAACTCTCTGAGCAAGAACCACAACACATGGATGCAAAGACGGCCTATTGCACAATACCGATTCCAAATGGCTGACCTCCTCAAAGCATCCTCCATCAATTTCCACCCCTGTTTTTCATCTAATGAAAAGAAGAGTTATGAAGGAAATAGAGCAAGAGGACATCGGACATACAAGACAATGTGTTTTAGGACAAGGAGGAGAATGAAACGGTGAAGCAAATAGGCAATGAAAAGAAAGGAAAAGGCAGGGCAGGGAAAGGAAGAAAAAAAGCGACAGCGAAGAAAAGGGGTGATAAAAGCCAAATGAACCAAAACTGGTGGCTCAGGTTCCTGTTGCTGTGCTCCTAATGCCGCAGACAGACTGTAGCCCAAGGTGTCCGTGCCACTTGTTCCAGGTCCCTTCCACTTGTTCCGGATCCGTGCCACTTGTTCCAGGTCCGTGCCACTCGTTCCAGGCCCGTGCAACTTGTATTCCTGGTCCGTGCCACTTGGTCCAGGTCCGTGCCACTTGTTCCAGGTCCGTGCCACTCGTTCCAGGTCCGTGCAACTTGTATTCCTGGTCCGTGCCACTTGTATTCCTGGTCCGTGCCACTTGTTCCGTATCCGTGCCACTTGTTCCAGGTCCGTGCCACTAGTTCTAGTGGCAGTCAGCCTTTTCCGAATCACCTGTGCATCCGTGCAATACGCAAAACAGACAAAATGAGTTCCGAGTACCTGGCCATCATCCTCACTCTAGCACTTGCTGGACGTATATAGCCGGAGATACAGCCGGATTCCACCAAATAAGTCCGGGCGTGTGAGTATTCCCTCCTAATAATCGGAGGGTTAAGTAAATGGGTTGTCGTAACGTGACGATGACTTTCCGGAATACGACGTTCGGTCTGTAATATCATAAAGATACGATGATGACAGTTTTTTCACAACAACAGAATTTTCCTTGCGGCTGAACGATCCGAAAAAGAAAGCGTTTTTTTCCCCTTGGGGGAACGGAAAGGGGGAGGGAGAGGGGGGGAAGGGAGAGGGAGAGCGGGGAAAGGGAGAGGGGAGGGTTGGGGAGGGAAAGAAAACGATCATTCTCTGCTCTCTTGCCTACTTCAGCAGCTCTGAAATATCTAATCACAGATCCTGTGACATAGACCCCCCTCCTTTTCTTCATGTTGTGACAACCATGTAAGAAGCCGTTTACGTGAACCAAGAAGAAGGCTGGGTCAGGTGATTGGCTGAAATAAAAAGCAAAAAAAAAAAATAATAATAAAAAAATGGAGAACACTGAGTGAAAATTTCGCCCTGCGAGATTTAGGGCCTGATCGCACATTATATCAACTCAAACTTTACTGCGAGATGAAGAGCAAAAAGAGCAAAAAGAGTACAGAAATAGGCGATCAGGCCCTAAATCTCGCAGAGTAAAGATTTAGGGCCTGTTTCTTAACTCTTTTTACTCTTTTTGCTCTTCATCTTTAACCCCATGCATGATCACTATCACATCCCTTTTCATTCCTCCTCCCTCTCTCTCTACTGTATTACAATACGCGGAAACACCCATCACCAACCCCGTTGCTCTCCCCCTAACCTAAACCATGGGGTAGGTTTGGTTTGCACCATGCGAGAGCAAAACTGTACCAACCCCCCTCTCATCACGCTGATGTCGGACTGGACAGAGGCATTGCTCGGCCCAGAAACACCGGTAGCGATACCGTCTTTGCCCGAATGGACCGTACGGTAATTATAGCGTATATTTGGGGCAACTTTCAGACTACGTACAGACATAACGCCCATTCATTCTATTCGGGTGAAGACGGTGGTGCCAAGCACTGTGCACAAATTCATTGGGGGGGGAAAAAACAGAACCACGAATATCGATGGCCGGAAATGGAGGGGGATCCACGGAAGAGCGACCTCTGCAGAAAAAAACAAAGGGGAGTTTTCCAGGCTTGCCGGTGATGAGCAACCGGACTGATGCCCCCCAGAATAAAAGGGGCTGCTTTTTGGTATAAAAAAAAAAAAAAAAAAAAAGAAGAAGAAGAAGAAGATCGACGGTCAGAAATGCGCAGGCGACAGACGAAGAAGGACAGACGCGAGGGGCACATCAAGACAAAGAGAACGTACGTAAAACAGGTGGCAATCAAACAAAAAAAAAGTAAGATAAGACCCAAAAATTTAGAGGGAAAAAAGATCGACGACCAGGTGATCAGCAATATACCCCACCCACCCACCCACAAATGAGGCAAGCAATCCATTCGACCCCTCTCTTTCAGAGATCGCCGTGGTGGCAGGCAACGGGGTTAGACCCCACCCCTTATTTCAAAGATATCATTGGTAGCACAGAGATCTGATCCCCCATCCCTTATTTCAGCGATTGCACTGGTGGCAAACGGGTCTTATCACTCACCCCTCACTTCACAGATTGCACTGGTGACAAAGTGGTCGTTTCACCCACACCCCTCACCCCACCCACACCTCTTTCCGGAGATGGCTGGTGTAGCCAAGGGGTCTTATCACCCACCCCTCATTTCAGAGATGACACTGGTGACAGGCGTAGCGAAGGGGTCTTATCACCCACCCCTCATTTCCGAGATTGCACTGGTGACAAAGGGTAACCTTGCCCACACCTCACTTCAGAGATCGCACTGCCCGTCGCCCCCCTCCCCCTCCCCCCCCCCTTTAACTCGTTTCAAAGTTCCTCGTGGCAAAGGGGCCCCATGGTCGATCCACCACCCCCCCCCTCATTTCAGAGATCGCACTCATGGCTACAGGGGACCCCACTGCTCGATATGTCCAGTGATATTCAGCGCCTTACGTAAGCGTGTACATGGACAAGTCTCGGAAGCCCTAAGAAAGTGTTCACACTGTAGGAGTTTCGTTTTGATGAATCTGATGACAATGACGACCAGATTCCGTTCAAAGGGTTCGAGTGTGCATATGCCCGACCATGCATTAGGTTGATTCACAGCACAGACATATTACGTGCTTCGCTGCGCGATGAGGAAACGGTCCCGGAAGCCCTAAGAACGTACTCCCAGAGCAGGAGTTTTGTCGATGAATCTCACCACATTACAGCCAGATTCATTGAAATAGTTCCGAGTGTGAATATGCCCAACCATGCATTATTAGGTTGATTCACAGCGCAGATACATTACGTGTTTCGTCGCACGATAAGAAAATGCTCTACTTCATGAAAGTGTGGCCATTAATAAAAAATAAAAAAACAGAAGATAGTATGCCCATTAAAAAAAGACGGTGTGCCCATGTTGTTGGGGCGCCGTGGCCATCTCGTTCCTCTTTATTAAAAAAAAAAGATCAAGGAGAGACTTACAGCCGCCGCTCCTTCCCATTGCGTGTGGAGCTTGGCGAAAGATCTTTTTTTTTCTTTTTTAGAAAAAAAATGACTTCGTATTAACCAGGACAAACCAAAAAAAACGAGGCCGGATACCTCACAACTCGACCTTGTTCCAACACAAAAAAAAAAAATAAAAAAAAATTCGACCCTGACTGATGCTGCGAAAGATCATTTCGTTTCTACGGCACTGCTGTCTACCCAATTATTATTCAGATTAATTAATTGATTGCGCTTTGCACGTGCAGCTGCTGCCACGTGTACCAGTCGGTTGTTGACATTTGAAATGTCGACCGCATTGACCATTCCTTTTGACAGAGGATTGATTAGTGGAAGGAGGGAAGTCGTTTCGATAGCGTAGGAGGTGGACGGTCATCGCTATCTAATTTATTGCCCACCATTCCCCTTTTAGACAGCATTGATTGATTACCCCCCCCTCCCTCCCTCCCTCGTTTATTACCCATTCCCCCTTGACCATTCCTTTTTGACAGAGGGTTGGCATTGATTGATTACCTCTCCCCCCCCCCCTCCCTCCTCCCCTCCCCTCCCTCGTTTTTTACCCACTCCCCCTTGACCATTCCTTTTTGMCAGAGGGTTGATTAGCAGGAGGAGGGAAGTTGTTGCGATAGCATAGGAAGTGGGGGGCCATCGTTATCTGGTTTATTGCCCACCATTCCCCCTTTAGAGGGCATTAATTGATTAACCCCCCCTCCCCCCTCGTTCATTACCCACTCCTTACTTTCGTAAGGATTTATACCACCCCTCATCCCCTCCCCTCCCTCGTTTTTTACCCACTCCCCCTTGACCATTCCTTTTTGGCAGAGGGTTGATTAGCAGGAGGAGGGAAGTTGTTGCGATAGCATAGGAAGTTGGGGGCCATCGTTATCTGGTTTATTGCCCACCATTCCCCCTTTAGAGGGCATTAATTGATTACCCCCCCCTCCCCCCTCGTTCATTACCCACTCCTTACTTTCGTAAGGATTTATACCACCCCTCATCAGGGGGCTGATAATATAAAGGCATGGAAGCAAAAACCCAGCGCAACCTCTAGGCTCATCAGGGGGCTGATAATATAAAGGCATGGAAGCAAAAACCCAGCGCAACCTCGTTGTTTCATCTCCTCTTTTTCATCGCCTTTTTTTCCTTTTTTTTTCTGAATTTCTTTCCTTTTCCGACTTTTTTCCTCCTTCCTTGCTGTGAGCAAGTGGGAGCGACCGGTCGTGCGCTCCTTGCTATACCCCAGGTGGGCGTTGGCGTGCTTGAGCGGGAGGCAAAACCACAACAAACCGCGGACAGGCAAAACACGCGGTCGGTCGTTCGCATTTGCTAATCGGAGCGCACGACCGGTCTCTCCCACTTGCTTATCGAAGACCGGATAACTCAGAAATCTTTATTTCCGTTTTCTTTTCTTTCGCCAGTCTCATAATCTCGTCCGTCGGGACATCCGTCAAAATTGGAACGATAGAGAGAATGAAGATTAGCATGGCCCCTGCGCAAGTAAGGGATGAAAAGCATAAATCGAGAATGGTCCAAAAAAAAGAAAAAGGAAGTCTCATAATCTTGGCCATCGCGCCAAAAACGAGAAAAAGAAAGCGGAAGAAAAAGATGGGGTCCTAAGCACTATGCGTATGCCATTACACTGAATCTACTCGGAAAAAATATGGCCAAGATTAGAGTCATGATACATCCACGGAAGGCCTCCATGGTTGACTGAACATAGTCATCATCACGGTCATTACTTCCAGGGAACTCGAAGTGAAACTTCGGCGGTCGAATATGCCCTAAGCAGTCGTCCGTCTGTCACGAAACCGATGGAAGCTCCGACTGTAGAGCGAGGGAGGCGCGAGATAGTGACAACTAAAGACAGCTTTTACCCTTACGAAAAATGAAGGACAGTAAAAAAGAGAACTTGATAGGTAAGAGAGAGAGCACGCATGGGTGGAGGACGGGGGGGGGGGGGGGGGGGGGGGGGGGGGGGGGGGGGGGGGGGGGGGGGGAAGGAGGAGCAGGGAAGGAAAGGGAGCGAAGACAAGGCAACAGGTAACGGAAGGTAAGGCTACCGAAGCTAACGGAAGCCAAAGGAAGCTATCGGAAGCTAGCCAGCGCTACCGGGAGCTAACTGAAGCTATCGAAAGCTAAAGAAAGCTAACGAAGGCTAACGAAAGATAACAGAAGCTAACGGAGGCTAACGAAAGATGACAGAAGCTAACGGAGGCCAACGAAAGCTAACGGATGCTAACGGAAGCCAACAAAGAAGCTGGGCTAACGAAAGCTAACGGAAGCTAACGGAAGCTAACGAAAGCTAACGAAAGCTAACGGTAACTAACGAAAACTAACGGAAGCTAACGGAAGCCAGGAAAGAAGCTGAGCTAACGAAGCTAACAGAAGCTTACGGGAGCTAACGGATGCTAACGGAGATAACGGAAGCTAACGTAGATAACGGAAGCTAACGGAAGCTAACGGAACGGAAGTTAACGGAAGCTAACGCAAAGTTAACGGAAGCTAACGGAAAGTTAACGGAAGCTAGCGGAAGCTAACGGAAGCTGACGGAAGCTGACGGAAGCTAGAGGCAGCTAACGGCAGCAAGCAAGGGGAAGAAGCAAAGGGAACAGAAAGAATGAGAAGAGAGAAAAAGAAGAACAAAGGGAAGAGAAAAATGGGCCAGGGAGGGCGAGCGTCTGGGAAAGAGGAAGGAAGATGGGAGCGCGCGGCGAGGAGGAAAAGGGGGGAAGGATGCAGGAAGAGGGGAGGACGACAGGGAAGGGGGGACAGGTGACGAACAGAAACGGCGGAAAAAGCAGAGGGCGCAAAGAAGAACCAACGGGATAGGAAGAAGGGAAAAATATACCACAAGAAGCAAGAGACGCACCGGGCAGGAAAGCCAAGGGTTGCGGAAAAGGGAAAAGAGAGGAGGGGAGTCGGAAGGAGGAAAAGGGAAAAGAGAGGAGGGGAGTCGGAAGGAGACGTATTGGGAGAAGAAGGGAGACGGGAGAGGAGACGGGAGAGGAGACGGGAACAGATGGGAAGAGACGTGAAGAGAGGGGAAGAGACGGGAGAGGAGACGGGAAGAGAGAGAGAAGGGAGGAGAGGACACGGGAGAAGGGAAGACAGGAGGAAACGGAAGGAATGGGAGGAGATGGGAGGAAACGTGCGAGAAGGCGGGAGGAGACGAAAGACGAGAATGTGGGGGACGGCGAAGTGAGGGGGAGAGAGAGAGAAGAGAGAGAAGGACGAAAGGAGAGAAAGGAAGCAGGAGTGAGAGATGTCCAGGAGAGGACGAAGGACGGACGGCAGGAGAGGGAAAAAGATAATGACCTGAGGCGAAGAAAAACGATAAGGACATTGAGGACAAAAGAAAAGGCAGAGAGAAGGGAAGAAGAGCGAAGCAGAGAACATGGCATGGTCTCAAAAGGCGGGGGAGATTGAGGAGACAATTACAATGCCACAGCACAAAGCTGACTATCGCACTGGTAGTTGCTTTAATTATATTATAATAATTATAATTGAATTAAAATAATTATAATTGAATTAATGACGATTGCATTACCTATACTTGCACCAGTGATGGGGGCATTGATCAGAGAGAGTTGCGTGCCGACAGCTACAGCAAAATACAGCGATAAATATATGAAAAAAGCAACAACATTGTCATTGCTCTGATGGGAAGAGCTACGGAGCTATAGAGCCACAGAGCTACAGCTAGGCAAGATTACTGAATAGGGAAAGAGACTATTCACAAGAGATGAGAGCGTTAGCTCCGCCTCCAGTCCCATCTGAGAAGAGCGGGATATACAGTAAAAGCATGAGGATTCTATTCAAGGAAAGAAAAGACTTCTTTCCTGAAATAGGTGGAGTGGTCATTGTTTCCTAATCTCCTCCATCCCTGAGAATGAAGGAAAGGAGAGAAGGAGACAGAAGGGGCAAGGAAAGACTTTTTATTTTCCTTTACAATAGCATAAATGATGTACCGTTGGCATTGAACAAAAAACAAATGGCAAAATAAACAAAAGAGAATGGAAATACAGCAGGCAAGCAGTCTACCCTAACACCACGATGCGTCCTACCGCCGGTAGTCAGACTAACAAGATGGTCAATCCGCTCCGAAGATGGTCAAATCGGTCCAAAGGTGGTCAATCGGGTCTCGAGATCGTGAATTTGGTCCCAAGATGGTTAATCCAATCCCAAGATGATCAATCCGGTCTCAAGATGTTCAATAGAGTCCCAAGATGAGCAATCCGGTCTCAGGATGCTCAACCCAGTCCCAAGATGTTCAATCCGGTCCCAAGTTGGTCAATCAGGTCCCAGGTTGGTCAATCAGGTCCCAAGACGGTCAATAAATACGGTCCCAGGATGGTCGATCAGGCGCCTTGAGAGACATAGGGTCCCCTATACCACAGAAATTCAAACACAACGAAGCCGCCCCTAATATGGAAGACTACCGGTCAGCTGGCAGCGAGTGCAGAAACCCACGTCAAGACCGTTATTGACACATAGGGGAAAATATGGAGCCGTCACATTCCCGTCAGGACACGGGCAAAAAACGATAGACGAAGGATGAGTCAGGAACACTTGTAAAGCGAGCGTCAGGGCACTCTTGTAAAGACGAGAAGATGAGGTAAGCGAAAGGTAGAGGAGGAAGGATGAGATTGCTAAAGCGAGTGCGCAGGACCATACGACTACGAGATACCATCCCCGGCGTTTGCTATCACAAATCGTCTTCCCATGAGAATGAACTACTCGACCCGAAACCACGACATCCTCGGGTTTCCTCTCTCTCTCTCTCTCTCTCTCTCTCTCACACACACACACACACACACACACACACAAAAGCACATATACTCTCTCTCTCTCTCTCTCTCTCTCTCTCTCTCTCTCTCTCT